ACTCTCCAAATGATTCTAACGTGAAACCGAAGATCTGAATCCCTGGTCCACTGCTCTGTTTTTTTCAAGAGATGTTCTGATGAATTTTACTCATTCACTTGGCCTGGAAAAAAATAAAGGGAAACCATTCATGCAGACTGATGGCTATTTAAAGCCATCCGGATTCCGTACACACAAAGAGAGTTGTTCGTGTCCTTAGTAATTAGTTCTATTTTAATATCAGATCTTTACAGTATTACTATTATACAGCAGTAAGTTATGAAACAAAAATTTAAAATATAGGACCAATCACAACACTACGTTAGTAAATACCAGAAAGAACAACAGCACACAGGTGGTCCTCCCTTCAGTTTCGTGCAGGCGGAAACACTCCATCTGGAGGTCCAGAGGCTGAAAAAAGCCTGTGAGTTGTACAGGCATTTGGGCGTTTTCTACTTCGGCTGTGAAAAGAAGGGTTTGAAAATGAGCCCCCAGCAGCGGGAAGAGCTGTTCTTCCTTAACCAATCACGTCCTTGTTTCCCTCGATCCGCCCACCACCTGTTGTTTATTTCATTCCTGAACAAGGGGTCTTTTTCATCAAGAGACTTCAGGGGTGGACTCGGAAAGTCCTGACAGTCTCTGCTGCCTCCTCCTTGATAACCAGGGAGCTCACGGCACGTGGGAGTTTAGCAGTTGGAGGAACAGAAAGTCCCCTGAGGTGTGCACAGCAGCTTTCCAGTTCCCAAGACACCTGTCTGCTTTAAGGGACTGCAGGCCTATTGACTTTCACTACGCCCATAGTCACAAGCAGTTTTCCTTTCAGGATGGCACTTTCCTGGTCAGAGACAGCTCCAAAAAAACAGTGACCAACCCATACGTCCTCATGGTGTTATACAAAGATAAGGTTTACAACGTGCAGATCCGCTACCTGGAGGACAGCCAGGTTTACATGCTGGGCACCGGACTCCGCGGGAAGGAGGTAAGGACTCCCAGTTGCAAAGCTGCCCCCCAGTTTTTCCACGCTTCTTTGAATACCTGTCTACGTGAACTCTGCCGTGACACTCCGTGTGGCAGCTTCGGAGTTAAATTGCTTCAGTGAAACCCGTCATTTACTGAAAGGAGGTAAAACGAAACGTTAACCATAGCTACCTCTGCCATAGGAACCTTCCTTGTGTCTTTTATTCCAAAATAAGCTAAAATTAGACATGTAACTTGCGAAAGACTATGTGAACAGTTCAGTGTTTCGAGACCCAGATGGTGCCAAAGGCAAGTCCCTTCGCCCGTCACCTTCATGACATAACCTCAATGTAAGGTTGCCGTGTATGTTTAAGGCTGCATTTTAAATGGACAGATGGAAAAAGGAAAGAACAGAATTCTTACTGAGATGGTCATGTAGATACGTGGTTCATTTCTTAACTAAAAATGGAGGTTCAGACAACGGAGGAGGCCAGATTGCCAAAGACGTTTCCCTGTGTGCGGCCGATGCTCACGTGGTGACTTTGTGGGTGGCAGTCAGACTGTACGAAGGGGACCTCTCAGGGCTGACTTCTGCGAAGGAAACAAAGAGCCCAATGTAATGCCCCGAACACATGCTTTACATTCAAAGTCTCAGGAGGGAGGGTCAGCGAAATCAAACATTTGCAGGAGAAACAGGCTGCCCGTGAATTCCATATCCCTCCAAACACTTCTAAGTCACGGTCATGCTAATGAGTAGAAAAAACAAGTGATCTTGGTCAGAGGTTTGCAGCGTGGGGCTGGTGGGGCTGGAGCAGCCCAGGCCCCACAGCAGTGGAGAGGCCCGTCCCAGGGTTCCTGGAGGCCTGGTGTGGAAGTGCACACAAGCACAGATCACAGCGGCCCCGTGAGGCACCTCGCAGAGTGGTCAGAGGAAGGGCACAGCCCCGTCTGCAGTGCAGAGGTGACTCGTGACCCATGTCCAGAAGGATGGGCGGGGTTGTTCCCCGCTGGCCTTCAGGGACAGGGTGAGCTGGACAACGAATGCGAAGCCTCGCCTGCAGAGCCCTCGTGTGTGTGCGTGTGTTGGGGGGAGGCAGTGGGGGCACAGCAGGCAAATCATGAGGGGACTACTAGGCCATGCTGCAGACGTCCTCTCCGGACACCGGGGACACTCTGACCCCCATTTCTTACCCTCTGCACACTGTTGTTGGCTGAGATATGCGATGCAGAAGCCAAAGCCAAAATACCAAGAGGGGAGTCTTCAGGCAAAGGTACTATAATCAGACCCCTATATGTGATCCCCTACACAAGCATAAAAATATATATATATATATGTCAAATATCTAAAGTAGTCATAGGTATGTAGTGTGTAATCCACAGTTTACTGGATGTTGGTGAAGAATTCTTTTTTCAAGGTTCTATACCAGAAATCATTAAAGTACTTGCCAAATTTTAGGCGTTTTTTAATCAACACCCTCATAACTTCAAGAGGTAGGGTATTATGCAGCTAAAAAGAAACCGAGGGTGAACGCCACACTCCCTGCTCTGGTGCTGACTTTCCTCCTGCTTTGAATCTGCCAGGACTTCCTGTCCGTGTCGGACATCATCGACTACTTCCGGAAAATGCCCCTCCTGCTCATCGACGGGAAGAACCGGGGTTCCAGGTACCAGTGCACATTGACGTATCCCGCCGCTTATCCGTAGCCGGCCAGCCAAGCGAGCGACCTTCCTCCTGACTCTGCTGGCAGCCTGGGAACGATCGTCAACCTGGGTGACTGGACAAACACTTAGGTCTGAATCGAACCCCTCAACACGAACACAAGGGTTTTGAAAAGTGTTTGAAATGAAGACTATCAAGTACCCATAATTTATTTATTCTCCTTCAGTATTTGTAAAGTGCAGGAGTAATTTTGTTCACGGTTGAAGTCGAGTAGTGCACTGTGGTAATTCATACAAATAATGTATATTTTTGGTACCCATTTCAAAGTACGGTAGTTTACATGGCTACAAAAATAATGAGGGGCAAGTTTCAAAACACTTAAACAGTAGTATTGTTATCACATAAAACTGATTTTTTTTTTTTAAATAGCCAAACCTTTGTCAGGGGCAATCATCACTTTTATATCTGTAATTTGAAAGTTACTAGAATTAACTTTTTCAGCAGCAATAATTTAAAAGGCTTCAAAAATATTTCACCCTTTCTTATTTGGTGTTTCTTTCTGATGGGGGGATTTTTATATACTTTTTTATGAAAACATAAATACATGTTGGAATAACTTCCTGAGATTAAAAATAGTTTGCCTTTTGCTTTACTTTTGGGTTTTTAAAAACTTGCTTGACCTCACTGTTTAGTCCACACTATTATATTTTTGCTTTAAAGCAAATTTAAACTAAAGATACAAAAAGGAGACATTTTGGAGATGAGGTTTTGGTGTCAAAACCTGGATTTAAGCCCATTACATCTCAACTACCACGTCCCACCTCCTCCACTGAAGGGACGTAGGTTTTACCGAAGTCATCCTGGGAAGACGCAAACAATGACTATATACAGAAAAATTTGATCGAGTTTCTGGCTGCGTAACCTTTCTCCCACCTCCTTTGATTCCTCAGGACAACTGTGTCCTGAGGCTCTTTCCCTCATCCTTCCCCAAAGCGCTTTCTAAGTCCCACGGAGCAATTCAGCTCCTGCCTGAGTTACATGCCTCCCTGAAGAACAAGCCTAGGCCGTCAGTGGTCCTTCAAGTTTTACCCTTCGGGCCCGTGGTTGTTACTCCACTTTTATTAACAAAAACTGTTGGCTTTTCTGCTTAATCTGCAAGTTTTCAGAGTGGCCAAGTATGTCTTATTGTTTCATTTTCACGAGGTACTAGCACACGGAAGGACCTGGAAAGTCACCGGCTTAGAACCGACAATTTCCTATGATGAGTGTACTGACATTTTAACCGATGATGAGAACAGTGATGTTTCACAAACCTTCGTCCTTACCCGTTCTCAGTTTAGAGGCCAGAACTCAGAGGCTCTAAAGCTGAAAAACCCGTGTTTATTAAGCAAGTTAAATACGGAGCTAGGTCCTGGGTAGTGAGGATAGCAAACGTTTTAAGTTCTGTCTTAAAGTGAGCTGACCTTGTGTCCTGTTCTAAAATGAATGACGTGGTAGATTTTCAAGCAACTCTTTGGTAGTGAATCTTGTTTACATGGCAAATAAAAGCCTATTACTTTGAGTTTCCTTTGGTGGAAAGAGACAGAAATCAGGAAGGTTTAGAATAAGGTGCCCTGAAATAAAAGCTGGCCCATTGGCTGTGACTGCGGTCAGTCCGAGTACCAGCGGCTGTTATGGCTGGCATTCTGTCTCCCCTTCTCAGGCAACGGCAACCCCTCCTTCTGCCCCCCCACCCCTGCACTGGCCACAGACCAGGCATAGGACCCTGCCTTACCGATCCCAGTTGCTTAGGACCCTGCTCAGGACTCAACATCTCAACCGAAGCTGGTGCCCTTCTCTGGCAATGTTAAACACGGGGGCTGAATCCGAGGGGCTCTTCCCTGGGCAGCTGAATACCTAGAGCTGTCTCTCTGCACACCCGGAGCTGTCTCCTGCCATCCTCTAGCCTTGCTTTCAGGGGAAACCAGTCCATAGCAGGAAGGGTGAGGGACAGAACCAGGGTAGAGACAGCAGACCAGTTAGTGGAGCCCCTGACATCTCCTCCAACCAAGGACTTCCAAGTCAGAGCACCCAACACGTGCTTTAGCTGGCTTACGCTGTTTTGGGCACTTGCTACCAGGAGAGATCTCACTCGTGTAAACCATCCATTTGAAATTTAGTGGCTCTCAGCCTGAGCCGAATCCAAGCATAAGGTAAAGGATTAGCAGTGCCACATGGCCAATTACCCGTCATTAGTGCAATCAATTAGCCATTCTGTGAGATATTCAAACAATAAATCAGCCTTCAAGAACACGAAATGGTTATTTACAACTCAACAACATTTACATTATAGTAAATACATTGGTAAACTCCGTTCTCCCAGATATCTGCTAATCCAACAACACAGTTATAAAGTCACAACAGACAAATAAGAAATTAGGGAGAAGTGTTAGAAGCAAGGGACACATCTGATACTTTCAACTCTTCCAAGGGGCTGCTGTTTCCTACTGTCTCCTTGAGGTCCTCCGGCTTCCCAGGATGATTAAACTGTAGAGTGAGGTCACAGAGCAGCAGCTGGGAGAGCTCTGTGTAAAACAAAACGAGGGGGTGTCGGAACGGGGCATTTATGTTCAGACCACTAGCATCCCTCTCAGTAGCCCTTCCTAGTTCTTGATTTACTTTTCTTCTAAGTGACTGCGGACCAAACCACAATTTGGGTGTGTTCACTGTGACTTCAAGTCAAGTGTATGTCCTACAAAGCAGTGTGACGAAAACTTACTAGCAGGGTTCTGTAGCCTAACTGGTCAGCTGTGTGTGTAAGCCGCACCTTGATTCATGCAAATCTGAGTTAGTTTTGAAAACTCACCGCTTTTACATGTTACACACGCACATGGGAGAGTTACATAGACCCCCAAGGCACAGCACAAAAACCAGCAGCTTTATCTCCCACAAGCAACCAAGTTTCTGCAGCTCATTTTGGTTTTTATGTCTGTAGTTTTTCTTTTTTCTTTTCTTTTTTCGAGGTGGAGACTGGTATTACCTCCATCTCTCTAAATGGCAATGCTCATTTAATTTTCTCCATTTTAGGTATTATCTATCCACTTCTGATTACAGAAGGTTAATATATAACTCTTCACTCATGCCATCCCCAATATACTTGAGTGTAATTTTTACCAGCTCAGTATTTAATATTTAAAATTTTTGATTACGTAAGTATCCTTCACAGTCGAGTTGTGTAATATGACATCACCCCTCTGCAGGGGTGTCCAACCCTTGGGCCAGATGTGGCCCGAGATGGCTGTGAATTGGCCCAATACAAATTCATAAATTCACCTAAAACATTTTGAGATTTTTTTGTGTGTGTTTACGTGTCACCATGTATTTAATGCATGGCCCAGAGACACCAAAAGGTTGGACACCCCTGCAGGGGATTCGCTTCATCTTCGTCTTTAAACCTTTCTGTCAAGTTTATGTCCATCATCACATTTTTAATTGCCAAGGGCTCCCTTCGGTTCTCAAAATATCTTTTGTAGTTTTATGTTCCTTGTTCATGGACGTAGCATCTTCTCTCCTGTGGATGTGAGTGGTAATTTCTGGGAGTTTCCATTCCCTTCATAATTTGTGTTTCTGCCCCCTTGACCAAATCTATTTATTGGTTCTGTCTCTGCTCTGCACGTTAAATGCTTTCCTCGGATGGCTTGTTGTGCCCTAGCTCTTTGCTCACATTGAGGCCATAGCACTATAAAGATCATTGGAAGCTCTATGCCCATGGGAATCTGTATTGTGGGGTGATCTGACTGGGTCTTTTCTTGGGGAAACCTGTGCTACCAGTACTTTTGGGTCTTTTAGGCTGGTCATATTCCTGAAAAAGGAATCTGCTTGAGGATATCAATCAGGCTGTCGATGTGTTGTAGCCAAGTGGGAAGAGGAAGCTGGAGGTAAACTTGGTCTTGACACTCTCATTTATAGCACACCGCTCTCCCCGTCACCTTGTGGCTGGTGGCTCCAGGCCAGAGATCCCTTGTTCTACCAACCAGCTCAGGGAATAAACGTGGTATCTCCTGTCACAGAGAAACAGCTGCCCAGTTAAGCAGAGGGGGAGGAGACCTCAGGGGCTCTGTAACTTCTGAAACAAACATTTAACCAGTCCCCCCCCCACCCCCGTTCTCTGCTCCACCTTCACCCCGACTTCCACAGGACTCTGGTGCCACCACGTGTTGAGTCTTTGGGGCTACATCTTGGCTTTACCCAGCCAGGTCCCAGTTCAGATGTTTGGATATTAGGGTTCAAACTTCTCTGTTGGCTTCCATTTGCTTTCTGGGTTGTAGTTAATACTTTTGGAGACCTCTTTGTCTTATAGACTTTTGTCTGTTTAAAATCACTCTAAATCTCAGGTCTACCAGCGACTAGCATTTGTCCCTAGGAACGTTAGTTAACTACTCCGGTCTGTTCCTGTGCCTTTAAATGCAACGGTGCTATTTCCCACCACATGGAGTTGCTCCGAACATTGAGTCCATTGATGCACCGCTCTTGGGAGAGTAGCTGGATGATGCTAAATAATATAAGTGGCATCTACTGGCATTATTTTGGGCGGTAAACAGTGTTCATTTGGTCTTTGAAGTCTCCAAGTCCCTCAGAGCCTCCTTAGATGACGTGCCCCCAAACTTTCCAGGAACACATCATTTCTATTTTACTTCATCAAAAAATAATCTGCACGCTCGAACAGTTCATCCAGTCTGAGAGGAATCTGCAGCACCTCAGCTTTATACGAGCGCAAGCATCCAGAAGCAGTTACGCATGCAGTAAACAACGTCCAAGGAGCTACTGTGTCCAGGCACAGTGTTAACTGCTAGGAATACCTTTCGAGAGCTTCCAGTTGAGCAGGGATAGGAGCAGCTGGTAAACGTGTAATTATAACACAGTGTGAGAGGTGATATGAAAGGCAGAAGAGACAAGATGATGCTTAAAGGAAGGTTCCCAACCTAAGTCATCACGACTAACAGCGTATAGTCAATGACAGTTCACCTGCGGGGGTGCGGCAGTGGGCATTTCAGAAGGCAATGCACGTGTTAAGTCACAGAAAGACCAAGTGTGCAGATACGCACCTAGTTCAGTATGGTCAGAGCACAGAACATGCCGGGAAAAATTACTGGGCCGAAGCTCAGGTTTTACAGTCCATTCAAGGAGGTTTATCTGGAGGATAACAGTGAGTCAACGAGAATTTTCAGCAGATTTACATTTTAGAAAGCTAATCCTCGCTGTCGAGTTGAGAGCGGCTTTAGAGATGGTGAACTAAACACAGCCAACCAGATTTCTCTACACCAGACTCCTCAGTGCCTTGTTAATACCTACTGTAAATCCGTGACGGAAATTTAGAGCATGCTGCACTTCCCAGGCTATCTGACCCTGAGCACGTGGACCCCGTCTGTACTGCACACCAACTACTACCATCTCATGAGACAGCAGGATCCGCAGAGCCAAGTCTGGGCAATGCTGCCCGGGAGGAGCGTAGACGGCACAAGCAGCACTCACTACCTGGTGCCTAACTGCAAGCCCCCTTCCTCCTCCTCCTCTCGGTGACACAGTTTGTCTCCCTCTGTGGTGATCCTCTCCCCCCTAGCTTCAGCAGTGGGCTCTGGCTGGTGTAAGCTGGTCTGGAAGCCCCTTCTCCCTGGCGGCGGCAGCTGCTGCTACCGCAGAGAGATGCCTGGGATGCAAATCTGGCCAATGAAAGGAAAAGGGCAAGTGCTGGAGGGACTGGGAAAGGCTTACGTGAACAGACGCAGGCAGAGATGGTGTCTGTCTGTACCTGGCCATGTTTGCAGGCAATGACCATGAGAAGTGGTGAACGGAGTAAAAATATTGAAAGAACCCACTCCCCAATGAAGTCTTTGAAACTCGGAATTATCTTTAGGGCTGCCCTACCTTAGCTCTTGTCACGTTCCTTAGTGTATAAGCCATGTTAAGTTGGTATTTTTTCTACAGGTAGACGTAGGCCTCACAACTATTTTCAAATTCCAAAAGCTGTCAGAAGAACTATATAATCAGTGCAGTTTTCATGGTAGGACCAGTGAGTGAAAGGAACAGGGGAACAGATTCCAATAGTCCCTCAAGAGCAACTTGGAAAGGAGCAGGCGGACCGCTGAGACAGGGAGTTCTTCAACACAGGGAATGTTTGGTCAGGGGCAGACTCTCCCTAGAAATACACTGCTTACTTTATAACAATAACACGCGAACATTTTAATTCACTGATTCTGTGCTTACCTTTCATCTTCTTCAACTCCAAAGAAATTGTATTCATATTTTTGATTATGGCTTCCACATTTAGCTTATGGCCAGCAACATCATTCTTCAACATCTAATTTTAAAAGAGAAATAAAAACAATGTACAAATCAGAAATATTTATGCACATTATTTAAGTACTTCTAAAAGGAAAATGTTTTTTTCAGAACTGAAATAACTGTGAAATAAGAGTTAAGTGGTTAGAATTCTAACATAAGGAGGCATCAACTTGCTAATGTTTTCTCAACTGAAAACACCATCACCTGGAATTCTTAGGACGACGTTTCCCCTGTGATCAGACCGGTGGGACCCTCTGTACCATGGAGATGTAAAGGCCCCTTTCCAGAAAGCCTGGGCACTTAAAAATTACCTCACAATTGAGCAATCGTGTAAGACCTTCTCTAACTTAGGATCTTTAATCTAACATATTCTTGAGTGACAGGGTCCATGTACAATTTCTTTAAATAGATAGTAAAATTTAAAATAAGATTCAATTATATTTATTGACTGAGAGGAGGGCAAAATGACCACTACTATGTTAGCTAAGGGAATTAGGGCAACCTAATTCCACATGAATACTGGTCAACTGAAATTCACACACCAACGCGTCCTAGTGTTGTATATAGAGTACATGTACTTATACAGCTGTGTCAGAACCATGCAGAGGTGGGTCACTGGAAACCAACCTTAGCCATTCAACTGCCCCCAAACAGCTTGAGAAATGAACCCCAGGCCATATACACAGAGTCCGGCCCCATGAAAGGCGGCCAGTTACCAGGCAGTTATGTGACTTGTCCAAAATCATAAAAAACTAACCTTTATTTCCTTGCCTCCACCTTCCTCTGAGCCAGAGGGATTCATCCTGTTTCTCTTGCACACTTTGGAGCCACTGTCAAGGAAATAAAAAGTTTGTCTTCAGGACAATCTGTGAAACACACTTTGCATCCACCGACAAGCCCCCTGTGCTGAAAAGGAAATGGTGGCTCTCACGGGTGTGGTGCCGCCAAGATTCAGGTCTAAGGGGAAAGGAAAGATGACACACAAAAAAAGGGGGTAGGTGGAATGTAAAAAATAATTTAAAAAGAAAAACAAGAAGGAAGTAGAAATAGAGAAATGTCCAAGGAAGTTGACCCTCCCAGTCTGGGGTCCGGCCACCCAGGGCTCTCAATCCCCCCACGGGTGGGTGGGATCAGCAGCAAAACCCCACTAGCTTGGAGGAGGCCAGGGCTGGCCCCAGCCTACCCCATGGAGCTTGGTCAAGCCATTAATCAAAGACATGGCGGCTGACGCCTGCATAGAACTCTTCCCAGGGGGCGGGAACAGACACAGGGCTTTGGGGCTGAGGGAAGAGCGGGCTCAGAGGCAGATACCCCCGCCTGACCCACAGCCAGGAGGCACCGCACACTCCGTCCACACCCTGGGGGTGACTGTTATCCCACAGCCCACGCTCTAGCAGCCGGACCCTCCTTCCCAGCCCAAGTGACACCCATCAAGAGCCTTGGGGCCTGAAAATGGAGCCCTAGGCAGCCTCGACATCCCCTCGGGCCCCCAGGCCCATGGGGCTTGGCAGACCATGTGCCCAACCAATATCATCACTCTTCTATATTTTTGCAGATGAGCAGAGTACAGATGAGCTCGGAGACGCTCAGCGGTTTCTTGCCAAATTGAGACACTGGCATTGCAGCCATCTTGGCTGGATCCCAGGAGGAGTCGCTGCCACCCCGGGTGCCCTCGGGACAGGCGTCCGCCTCCAGGAGGCGCTCAGACCTGCCGTTTCAGGTTCTAGGCCAGTCCTGTTCTCCTCCCTGGCAACACACGCTGGCCTCAGGAAGCAGTCCCTTCCCGACAACCGCTTTCCTCTGCTCTCCTCTGCAGGGTCAGCGCACACCATAGGCCCTGCCCTATGGGAAGCAACAGCCCTACGGGAAACAACAGCCCCGCGGGAAGCATCACCCTCCATGATGAGTTCCTTTCCGGTCCTCAAGGCCCACTAGTTCCGGGCTAAAGATGGCTGCTGAAGCAGCCTGGAATGTTCGACAATCTTTATGGGCCCCTCGTCCCCAGACCCGAATAACCCAGGCTGGCCCACATCTGGCCCCCAGTCGCAACCCACCAGGCCAGAGGTCACAGAAGCTCTGGCCGCTGGGTGGGGCGAGAGGGCGGTGAACGTGAGCCCTGGCTTGGTGATTGGCCAGCTCCTCTGCCCGATGCAGTCTGGGAGTTGTAGTCCCGGACAAGGCCCCTGGGGAGAAGGTTCTAGATCCCGGGCTGAGAGTGACTGGTGGAAACGGTGCTGACCTGCCTGTTATTCTCCAGTGCTGTGCTAGATGCTTTACAGGCCTGATTTTCTCCAAACAGGAGTGCGGTTGAGGTCGGACTCTGGACTGAAAGCGCTGGGGTTTGCCACCTACTCCATCCTTTGTTTCGCTCTAGAGAGGCTGGGAAATGCATTCGGGTCTGAATGTCCCCATCTGCCCTGCACAGATAAAAATAACTGCCTTCCAGTGTTCTCGTGCATCAGAAAGGGTTGGGAGACCATGTGCCCAACACATGAGGGCTGTTATCACTCCTCTACATTTTTGCGGATGAGCAGAGTACAGATGAGCTCAGAGATGTTCTTTGGTTTCTTGCCAAACTGAGATACTGGCATTGCAGCCATCTCGGCTGGATCCCAGGAGGAGTCTGGACAAGCGCCCGCCTCTAGGAGGCGCTCAGACCTGCCGTTTCAGGATCTAGGCCAGACTTGGTCTTCTCCAAGCCTCCCCGGCAGCACACCACCAGCCTCGGGAACCAGTCCCTTCCATACAACCAGCAGCACATAGTCCGTTTTTCAGTTCATGTCCAGTTACTTTCAGAATTTGTTGTCTGGTGCAGAGTCAGGTAGGTGAGGAGGCGCAGGGGAGAACTGAGCTTCAGCCTTCAGGATAGCTGGCCACGGAAGCTTGCAAGAAGGTACCTTTCTCTTTCTGAACCTGGTTCCCCATCTGCTTAGTCATGAAAGGAATGGGCTAGATCAGTGTTTCCCAAATTTCACTCATTATGGGCCACTGTGTATCAACTGTTTCATTAGTACCTGCATATTTTAAATGTACTTCCCTTTAATATTTAAGTCAACTGGTGAAGCTTTCTACCACCGATGTAAATGGAAGAAGATATAAACAGAAAGTAACAGGAAAGATAAAAACAATGAAAATAAAACATTACTTTTAATCCTCAGGATATTCTTGCCTATTGATGGCTATGATCCTGTGGTCTGATCTTCTTTGTTAAAATGGGTTTTTATTGCATGTTAGAGAAATGTTAAAGGGAGTCTAGCAGAAACTGACACTCACTTCTTGATGTCATCAGGACTCCAGGGGAATACCGCACACTGGGTGATTGCATGATTTTCAGCGCCCGAGTATCATATAAAACCATCACTCACACCCCTAGTAGGATAGGTCCGTCCCACCCTTTGCAGAACCTAAGATCACGTGCTCTCCAATAATCCCGTCCTTTTCTAAGACTCCTTCATTCTCAGCATGCCATGGATGCCTTTCAAAACTCACCTCAGTCCGGGAGGGAGTCTTCCCAAAATAAACCTACCCAACTCCGCAGTTCTGTCTGCTCCCCTCCCTCAGCATTTTACCTGTGCGCACTTGCTAGAGTCAAACTCGCGCATTTTCTTGTTTCTGATAGTGCGCTGAACATTTTTCTTCTAATTCTTCAAGAGCTGAGGAAGGGTGGAAAAAGAGGCACAGACAGAAGACACATTGTTGGAACATTCATTGTAAATCACACACTGTGTTAGAAGCTTTCCTGTTCTGACAACCCTGTGAGGTCGCCATGATCAGCCCAATTATATGGAAAATGAAGCTGAATGTTTCAGCTCCATGATGTTTCCGGATCACTGAACTTCAACACACTGATATTAACACACACAAGCAGGGAAACACGGAGTGACGGACAGAGGGTGAATCAAAGACATTCACGAAAGCAAAAATAACTGCCATCGCTGTTTTATAAAAGCAGGGATAACAACATAAAAAAGGGGGGGGGGAGAAGGAAAAAGAAAAGGAAGATGGTAATAATTTCAGAATAAGACAAGCTTAACTGAAATCTTATTGAGGGCGTCTTTTTTTTTAATCCTCTATACTGATGCAGATCGGTTAAAACTTTGCCTCGGATCTGCAATATCCTATTAGATGTGTTGTGGGAAATGCCCCATAGGTAACAGCAGAAGAAAAGGTGTTAAGAGAAGTAGGGTGGAAAAAAGGGGGGGGGGGAGTAGCATTAAGACTGAGAACCTTGAAAATCCGTGATGAGGGGGGCCGGGCTGAGGCAGAGGGGGCATCTCTGGAGCCCCATCCTCCCCGTCACACTGAACCCATTTGCAGGGTCCAGCCTGCATTTGCAGCCCTTCCTTTGACCTCAACTACCTGCCTGTTAGGATTCTGTTCACAGGACTTCAGAACTTGACCCAGCCAGAGTGCTGATGCCCTCTTATGAGTAGATTCAAACCTCTATAATGTGGGAAAGATCATCGTTAAACTTTTTTTTTTTTTAAGAAGAATCAACTCTGTGTTGATTTTAAATAAGTGTTATAGGCGGGAATAAAAAAGAGATCTGACCTTAGAAAAACAGATTGTAATAATATATTTTTCCATAAGAATGTCTTGAAGCGATGATGACTCTTTATGGTGGTGGTTTTCCTCCTGAAGTAGAGATTCCTTTTGATCCCCCCTAAAAAATAAAACTTTAAAAGCGTGGTCTGCTACTTACAACTTGAAGCTGTTACAGATGAGAAATCTATCGCCCTTAATAATTTTGCAAATACAACACTTTGCTGGAGCCCAGCACAGGTTGTAGCAGTTAATTCTAATGTTAATCAAATAAAGGAAATTAAAAAGCTGGTAAATTCTCCCATAAAGAGAAAAGCTGTTACAGAGCAACAAGGTGATTAAGCACTTTATGGACCTGGGTGTACCGTGCCTCGGTTAGTTTTATTACAAATTCTCCACATAAAGTCTTCATTTCCAGGAAAACCAATTGAGTGAGTTATCTCACATCTTCCTCTTGTTCTCAGAGGTCCCCCTGGCACCCTCCCCCTGCTCCTTATCCATGGGAAGTACTGGTCTCTGTGCCTAGGGACTGGCTTCCCGCTGGAGCACCAGCAGCCTCCGAATATCGCTTTGTACAACCCTTGGGGACCCAAACTGGGGAGGTAGGGAGCGCGGGCTTGGGCCGTTACCTAAAGAGCATGACGAGCACGGGAAATATCAAGGAAATTCCCATATGCCAGAGCTCCGCTTTTCGCACAGCCAGTCACATGCAGGAAGCCCAAAGGCACGTGACCCCTGCCCCGTGATCTAAACTGAAAGTTGGATTCTCTGCCCACTGGTGTTACACGGGGGCAGAGTCATTATCTTTTTCTCTGGAAGAAACAAACACTTACGAACTGTAGAAAGATGTTGTCAATGAGAATCCAAATTGCTCCCTGCATTAATTAACACATGTCCCCCTTCTAATTAAGAAAAATCTATGAAAGAAGAAAATCCTGCCATTTGTGACAACGTGGACGGAACTCGAGGGCATGGTGAACTGACCTAAGTCAGAGACACACAGTACTGTATGGTCTCACTTATGGGTGACGTCTAAGAACATTGACCTTGTAGAAACAGAGAGTAGAGTGTGGCTGCCAGAGACCGAGAGGTGGGCAAGTTGGGGAGATGATGGTCAAAGGGTCCAAACTTCCAGTTCCAAGATGAGTGAGTCCCAGAGAGTCTGATGTACAGTGGGGTGGCTACGGTTAACGCTGCATCGTATACTTGTAAGTTGCTGTGAGAATAGAGCCTTAAGGTTCTCGCCATAGCAACAACGAACAACAACCAAATGGCATTCATGTGAGGCCAAGGATGTGGTAACTAACCTTATTGTGGTTAACACTTCACAGTATAAACACATATCACATTATCATGTTGTACAGCCTAAACTTACCCAATCTTGTAAGTCAATCATTTCTCAGTAAAGCTTGGGGGAAGGGGGGGGAAGGAAATTAGAGTTCTGTACCAACATTTCCCTCCAAAAGAGGAAGCTACAGCCCTGGCTGCTGTAGCTCAGTGGGTTGAGTGTGGGTTGGGAACCAAAGGGTCACCAGTTTGATTCCTACTCAGGGCACATGCCTGGATTGCAGGCCAGGTTCCCAGTTGGGTCCATGTGAGAAGCAACCACACACAGATGTTTCTCTCCCTTTCTCCCTTTCTTGCCCTCTCTCTAAAAATAAATAAATCTTTAAAAAAGAATAAAAGGTAAAATAGGAAGCTACCGGAGTTGCCAGATAAAATACAGGATATCCAGTTAAATTTGAATTTCAAGTAAACAACGGATCCTTTTTTTTTTTACTGTAAATATGTCCTGAATATTGCCTGACACATCCATATATAAAAATTTTATTTGTTTATCTAAGATTTAAATTCAACTCGGAATTCTGACGTACTTTTATTTGCTAGATCTGGCAATCCTGTGCCCAAAACACTTCAACCATGAAAAGAGTAGCCAGCAGTCTGAGGTGCATATACAGATTTAGTAGGTTACAGAGGCCAGGAGGATTTTGGCGTTTTCCAACTTGATGTCCAAAATAATAAAACGCACGTACTCACTGTGCCAGGATGCGGCTCCCTTCTTTCTTTGACATTCCTGCAACGCAAGAAAGAAGCGAAAACAGATGGACGAGAGCTGGCAGTATTCAGCATGGAGCTGTTTTGGACGGTTGCTTGCTCTGCCCGTTGGTCCGAGAACTGTTTGCAGCTGGCGTTTTAGAAAATGCTTCCCTCCAGCCGGGGGCACTCAGGACACCAGTTGTGTTTATTCTCAGAGGCCCACCAATCAGAGAACACCTTCTGTCCCCAAATAAAATATGTTTCTAATTCTAACATGTCAACCTTCTGTCCCCCAACAAGACTTCCCCTGTTTATTAAAGAAATAGATTCTGAGCACCTGTCTCTCCCTCCGGACATTGCCCCTAACTCATGCCTCACCCTCATCAGCCAGCCATGCGATGAAAAATGAGCGTCTTTAGGAAAAAAAACATTATGTTCAGGAAGTCAGTTACAATGGGTTATCAGTGTGTGTTCACCTTCTGTAATGAAAAAAGAATGTATATGTGCATATGAGCAGGTTGGGGGAAAAAACACCAAAATGTTAACAATGGTTATCTCCTCGAAGTGAGATGTATGGGTGATTTTATTTCTTTGCAGTCATTTATTTGGCCTCGCTGTAACGTTAGTCCCAACCTTCCTCTCTATTTGTTAAACTCTCCAGGGTGTTTCTCAGGGTGGTACCACATCAATCACTTTAAAGTAGCGACTCTCAAATATTATAACGCACAATTTCTCAGGCAGTTTGGGAACATGCAGGTGCTGGGGCCCAGCGCCTCTGGTTGAGTGCCGGGGCTCCTGGAACCTGCATTTTAAATTCCTCCTCCTTCCATTTTAACCTCCACGGACTGAGGAATCTGGGGCTGACTTCTAGCTCCATTGGCAACTTCTCCATGTCTCAAATGGGTGACCATCATGGAAACTTCTCTTAATGGCTACCAATGCCAGAATTTGGTCGATCTTTAAAATTATACACATGTATATGTATTCCATACACTAGACTGTGTGTATCATTTTCAAGCATAAATCAGATCCACTGAAGGTTCACTTAGGAGAGGAAAGTCTTATCCCTGGCCTCAGCCCCCAACATGGCTGCAAATAGACTCAGTGAATACCTGCTTCACTCTTGGAGGTGGGAGGAAGGAGATGGACGTTCCGGCTTCAGGTTCTTCCTAATTTAGGTCTTTATTTCTTCTGTTTCCTAGCCTTTTTATTTGCACATGGCAAATGCCCGATAAATCTTACGAATGGGCGACTTGGCCTGTTACAGCGGCATGCTGGAGAGTCAAAGGAGACCGAGGTGTGTATGAGCAGCTGCCACTCTGCTGGACTCTCAGCAAAGCTCTGACAGCTGAGGGCTTCTCGGCCCCTGCAGGAGGGCCGGCCCCCAGCTGTCTGAGCAGAATGTGGATAAACCGCAGCAATCCGAACGTTGGGAGTCCCCCCACTCAGCTCTGTTTTCTGATTCTGGCACACGGACCAAAGATCCAAGAAGCAGTTTAACAGCTGTTTTAGAAAGGCAGCAACCAGCCTGAGAGCTTCAAAGCAGCCTGTGTGGTGTGCGCAAGATAACGAAACTCTGGTCTCTGATTTAAAAACAAGAACAAAAAAAAACCCTAAAAAACTATCTTGGTGGTGGATCATCATTCAAACAAGAATCAAATGACTCAGGATCTGTCCAAAATGAAGGATGTTTTAATACTTTGTGTGTAAAAACACTGATATTTTGCTTCTTTTTTATTAAACAGATTTTATTATTTTTCGGAGTCTTGTCAGCATAATCATTTTACGGCCGGATGAAATATTCAGCCCTGCCGTTGCTGGAGGTTCTTGCACAGCAATTACCTTGTGGCACTTTCGCCGTAATTAGGTTTTCGCCAAGGATTTTTTTCCCCCGGGTCTGCGTAATAAATGAAATATGACCAGAATTTAAATTTGTCAATTACAAGCGAGCGTAGTGCGCAAACACACAACACAGCCGTGGGTTCCAGACCACAGGCTTGGCGTCGCCAAGGGACAGATGCTTCGAAAATGAAAATGGAAATAAGACTACTCACCGGCACATGAATAGTGGCCCCAAAGAAAGCAGAGCTTCCCTAACACGATGCAACACGCACCCCCCCCAACAGTGCCAGCTCTTGATTACAAATTCGTCAGCGTGAAACTGACAAATTGAGGCGCCAAGCAGGGGATTGCTGTTAGAGTATCTACTCGGGGCTCTGGTCTGCTGCCAGGTGACGGCTGTGTTCCCTGAGGCCAGATCAGAAGGGGTGTGGACATGGCCGGCCAGAGCCTCACCACCTTACGCTGGTGGTGTTCTCTCTGAGCAGCTCAGGGGCAGACAGATGTGGGGACAGGCCTGAGCGCTCCCCATCACTCTTTTCTCCCCCATCGTGACTTCAATAATTGCTCCTCTGGGGCCCTCTGCCGACTCTTTCTCGTACGGGGAGAAATCTAAAAGGCTGCACTGAATTTGTTGGTTTGAGGACTGCAACAAACTGTTTATTCCATTGAATCAGCAACAAAACGGAAATGTCTTTGAACTTGCCCTAGGCAAGCAACATGGAACTCGCGTTTTAAAAACTTACCGAGTACCTGCATGTAACCAATCTTTCTTGATTTTCTCATCTGTCAGACGCCGCATTTTGGGCACAGAGCAGGGAGTGCAATCCGCAGGCCTCTCGCTGTCCCAGAACACAGGGCCTGGGGGGAAGAGGTGGACGGAAACCCATAAATGGCACAAATACACAAGAAGTGATAACCTAATTAGGCACCGTCCGGGAAGGATGTGTAACATAGTGGGGCATGTGACTTGTGGGGGGAAAGTTTTAGGGAGGGCTTCCTGGAGGAAGGGACATCAGGAAAAAGAGCCTTCCAGGCAGAGGGAACAGCAGGCTAAAGGGAGAGACTGGCAGACAGGAGGGTCTGAAACAACACCCAGCCCCGCTGGGGTGCAGGGAGTGGGGTGCGGCTGGTTAGGGCAGGAGGGGGGACGGAGCCGGACTGTGCCAGGGCCATGGAGATGGTGCCAAGGCTTCGGGTCTCTCCTGACCCCTGTGGGAAGCCGCTAAGGACTCTTAAGCAGGTGGGGGATGGGCATGGTGGTGGTCCATACGATCACACTGGTGGTTCCGAAAGGCGCCCCTGGCTTCACGGTGGAGATGGGTGAGAGAGCAGGAGTGCATAGACGCAGGCAGGCGAGTCAGGAGTCGGACGTGAGAATCAGGGTCAGAGAAAGCAGTGCCTGGTTTAAAAGGGTGGCAGCAGAGGCGGAAATGAGATTCAAAAGTATTTAGTAGGTGGAATCCACACAGACTTGGGGAGGGGTGATCCGTGGTGATGGAAGGAAGGGACCTTAGGCAAGTCCTTCATTATCTCATTTAACTGTCAAGAGTTTCACACAACAGCATTATCTCCACGTTGTGCACTAGGAAATTGAGGCTCAGAGAGGCTGTGGGTTGAACTTGAGATCCTTCAGCTGGGAGGTGGCAAGGCCATACGCCTACTAACCTGTAGGGTTTCTGAGACCACACGGGGAATTGACTCAGCAACCCTTCCCCCTCATCCTCTCGGGGTATCCCCTACATTCAGAGTGTTTGCAGTATGTTTCCTGGTCTTTCTTTCCTGCTCGACCATGAGCTTGCACTGTCCATACTCAGGCCAGTGCTTGGCTCAGAGCGAGAACCAGGCAGTGTCAGCTAGTGAATAAAAAGCCCACCGTCGTCTTTCTCAGCAGGGGGCCAGCAGTGGGGCTGTCTATGGGAGGCAAGGATCCCACTGGCTTATTTGTCCTTTGCCCCAGGGGACCACAGTGTTGGGATGTTTTGCTGGGATGCTCAAAGCAGACTTGCAGAAAGGATCTAGAAGCTTCTAGCAGCCTTGCGGAGTTAAAAGCCTACAGGCTGTGGAAGGCTGTGGCTCCGGATCTAAACCCTCCCTCCTCAGCTCGCAGGCTACACATCACAGAGTTACACATCCTCTCTGCGTATTCAGCGTCCTCGGGTGTAAAATGAGGATAATTTGAGTTCATACTTAAGGGGGCTGCTTTGGAGATTGTATCATCCGCGCAAAGGACCTGGAGTGTTAAAATAGTGATTCCCTGCCTGGGTAGAAAAGGTAATGGTTCGTGGCTAGCCAAGACCGGGGCTGGGGCTGGGGTTGGGGATTTCTCCCCACGTGGTCACAGAGCTGTCACTGACTCCTCTCCTGTGGTTTAATCGGGAACGAGGAAAGAAGTTGGCTCCCTGGGGGGTCCCTGACAAGCTGACAGATGTCCCCTATGGCAGCTTTCAACAGAGAGCTCATTTTCTTATTCTTCTTCTTTGTGATTTACAGCATGTGCGCTTCCAAGCCTCTGGGTACGATGGTGGAGTTGGAATGGAATTAATAAATCGGATCTGGTTTCTGCTCAATGCACGGCTCTGACAAATTAAAGAAGGAGACAGGTGGGAGAGCCCAGGCAAACAAAGTGCCCTGAACGCAGCAGCCTGGGGTCTGGGGCCCGGGGGGCCCGTGGGCAGTGGAAAGGACTCTGTGCAGGGTGACTCCGCAGCTGAGTCAGACGGGCGCCCAGGTGGGGCAGAGGTGCCTGAAGATATTCCAGAAACCTCCAAGTCCTTCCATTCCAGTCCAAACCTGTTTGACGTGAGGAACCTAGGCTCTGGGATCCTATGCACACGACCTCAAACCCTGACTGCCCTGCTCACTTTTATTAGCTGAGCCAAGGGCTCAAGGTCACAGAGCCGGTTACTTGCAGAACTGGATCCAGAGGCAAATTGGAACCCGTGTGCTGTTCAGCCACACACAGGAGGAGGGGAAACATAATTATCCCTCTCTTCTTCTAAGCCATTGGCTGAGAGTCCCATAATCAAAGACAGATTAACAAAAGAAAAAGGAAAAGTTTATTAACATTGTGAAAAAGTCAAATTCAACTGAATGCCTTATGAAGATCTTACTGGCTGTATTCAGTGATTTGTGAATCAGCAGCATCTAATCTATCAGATAGGAAGGAGCTCTGAGGAGCTGAACCAGATGAAAGACTTCAGAGGCAGAGAGCAGGAACAAGGAAGCTACACCAGGACAAAAACAAAAAAAAAAAACAACGAAAAAGGTGGGTTGGTTATTACTTATTACTTTCTTCTAGTGGACAACGGGGGCCTACCAAGCAGATGACCCAACTAGTGCTGATCAGGAG